AACAAGAATACGGTACGGGGCTGGATAGCCAGTAGTTATACATGTATTTAGATTTTACAATACATATTTAAGAAAATCTATTCGTTTAAAATCAGGCGGCTTTGCCGCAGCTAAAAACAAATAAAGTTAGTGTTGGATCTAGACCGAAGATTTTACCAGCCTTGGATTAAGGCTATAATTACTCTTGGAGTAAGCGGATTGCGATCCGCTAAACTCGTACTTGTTCTGAGTATAGAACGAGAGGTCGGCTACCTAACTTACGCTTCCTCAAAGCGCAAAGCTACGGCAGCCCTGCTGCACTTGGTAGCACTTGTAGTCAATCTACACCTGAGTCGTTTAGACTGATCCTCTGAGAGGATAGAGCAATTTTTCTCTTTGCCCCTGGGCATGCAGGACGGGCTTAAAAAGCCGATGTCCTTGCTGGACCCTGAGGGCGTGTAACACCTTGCGGCGCAAGGCCCCGATGCAATCGGTGCGCGTCGAGAGGCGTTATTAACTTACGAAAACGCGCTGCTAGCGCACCTGCAGCAGAAGATATCGGCTTCATTTGCATCTATGACGCCACCGCTAGTAACGGATGACTTCTTCCGCCATAAGCCGCTCATGGTGAGCGTTAAGGTCTTTGAGGGGAAGGACAAAGCAAATCTCCTGCTCTGGGTGGGAGAGGTCGAGATGGCCATCGCATCCGCCATGCTCCAGACAGAGCAACAGCGTGTGGCGCTAGCCACCTCCAAGCTCGGTGGTCGAGCGCGAGAATGGGCACTGACGCCACACCGGGCGGAGCTGCGTTTCCCTCCTGGGCAGAGCTGAAATTGCAGCTCTCACGATTGTTCTCGCCGCCTAATCAGGCTCATCGCGCGCGATCGCGTTTCGGACTTTGAACTCTCATTGCCGGGATGACAGCAGATACCCTCCCGGAGGCGGTCACAGTGACCGTCTTTATGGAAGGCCTCCAAACTGGCGTGGCCAAAATGGAAGTTTTCCGTGTGCATCCGCCCTCAT